ATCTTCATCTGGCTTTAGCGAGTAAGAAGCAGTACTTTGGTAACCTACGGTAGAGCAAACACTATGGCTCAGCAATCGGTGCTACTAGTTCCGACATTGTGATACTGCGATAAAGTACATAGTATATAATGCGACATCCGAGAGACTCCACGGCGATCACAATCTCGCTTCGGTGGGTCAACTAATTAGGGACCGTGCATTTGCCTTACCTTCGATGGGCGTGTTGATGCAGGTTCAACGACAGTTTCATCGTTGGCGGCAAATCGTATGGCGGTGGCTGAATGTAGAACAAAAAAAGCAAGAGAAATTAGAATCGTTGTTGCCGTTCGGCCCATCTGGAATATAGCTGTGAACAAAAGATAATTGTACCGAGGAAAGACAATTAACGATATAGAAAAGGAGAAAATTGGTGGAGTCATGGAAAGAAGAAGAGGAGGATGAGAGAGTTTCACTCTATGTCACCCATATTCAGCTCAGCGCGCTCATCAGCGCTCCGAAATCATTTTCCTCGAAGACCATGTTCAGAACAACCTGGCGGATCCGAGGCGTGGAGAATGGCCGCAATTTGGGGAACTGAGTTTAATAGTTACGAGCGCGCTCAAGCTCGATAGATGTGAAGGATTTCTGGCCGCAATGAGAGAATCTCATGCATGAATGAGTTTCAGAAGGAAAGTTATGCGCTAGGCAAAAAGTTAACGACAGTGGAAGGCATGATAGATTCGAGAGGTCGAATTTCGGTCTGGTGTCCGCCGGGCGGAGGAGTGTCTCAGCAGTGGCGAACGGGTAGTTCTCTTGAGAACGCAACAGTAGTCGGGTCAAATCATCGAATGTGGAACACGTCGGATCGGAAACGATCCCACCACATTCGATTTTTTCTGAACAATAAAAATTCGGTTAGCGGCAATTCAAACGAGAACGGGAGTGCATGAGAGCCGGATTCCTGCGAAAAGGCCAGGTCATACATATTTGTATGATAAATGCTTTCATTCATGTTGTTAACCGTGACCACTGCAATATAAGTCAAGAGCTGGGAGAGAAGTACCTCACGAGTCTGTTGCTAATGCTGAGCCATTACTTAGCTCATCTGAATGAGCCATAGCCTGAGATTTCTTGACAGGGAGTCTTATCTGCCTTGGTGGAAGGAGTGAGTTGTAAGTTGGAGATGTTGAGATAGCGGAAGTGAAAATAGCGCTGAATTTGTTGTGTTAGCACTTACATATCTCCTCCCCTCCCTCTCCAGCCCGCTGAACGCCACTTTTTTCGCGAAGCTGCTGGGCGTAGAACCATTTTTAAGCAATTCTGACGTCACTGCCACCAATGACTTTTGGAAAGTGGGGGGAGGTTATAGGGAGAGCGTCGTCGTATACAGTAAAGGGGAAAGGAGGGAGTAGTTCACTCTGAGTAAGACTCAAAAATTAGCCGAGCAAGTTCCAGTCATATAAAGAGCAGTCGAATCGAGAGAAACTTCAGTGTGGGACGAAAGGAGAAGACGAGTCGGCGGATAATATCGCAAGTGCACTCTTGCCTGAAGAACAACATTTAGGAACGGCTGATGGGGTCGCAGGAGCTGCCAAAAGCCGAGTCTTTGGGCACTCACCTTATCTGATTCAAATAGTGTGCAAAAATTAAAAACTTGATAGGGTATTGATAATTATCTAACTTCACGAAATTTTAACGTATAGTTCAAGAAAATACTTGGTATGCACTTTGAATGGTAGCGCTAACTGGAGCGTGTATTCAAATGAAACTTTCAGAATCGTTGGGTCACGTGAATCAGAACGCGTAAGCAAAAATCCTCTTCCGATTCCGCCTAACCTAAATTTCGCGAGGTTAACAAACAAGTTCTAGAACCAGTCGGGTCGAGTTCAATGTCACAATCGAGCTTTTGGAAGCAAAGGTCATGGAGGCCAGACTAAAGATGACAACTACTTGGTAAGTGATCACAATGTCTAGTAGCTTGTAATTCTTGAAAATATGTGTTTTTTGCTCAAGACTGTTCGAGCGCGTTCTCGATATTGCACGGACTCCCTCCACCATCTGTGTAACCGTATTCTGTTATTTATTGTATTTATTTACTTATAAAACAGAAACTGCATTTGGCTCATTATTCTATAATATCTCTGATTTGAAGTGCCTTAATCTGTGCAGATGATAACTGACAGAAGTAAATA